TTTTTTTTTTTTTTTTGGTACTGGGGATCGAACTCGGGATCTCGTGCTCGTGAGGCAGGCGGCAGAACCACTGAGCTAAATCTCCAACCCTAGTTTTTTAGTTTTGTTTTATTCTTGCTTTGTTTTTTCCTTCTTTTTTTCCCCCCTATCTTCTTCACCAGTCTCCTGAAGCTTTGGTAATCTTCCTTTGTCCTTCTAATCTGTTTCTCTTCTTTTATTTCTCTATTTTTTCTTCTCATCCATTTTAAATTTTCTCCCCTGAAGGTAAAATCACTCTGTTGAGGGAATATTTACTGTATATTATTTTCTAATTTGTTTTAAATTGTTTTATAATTTTAAAATCTTGTATCTATAGTTAAAGGTGGCAAATCAACAATTGTCACAGTCTGTCATTTTTTAGATTGTGCTCGATGTTACTGTTATTACTGATTGTATTACTTTAGCCAAGGTGAAATAATTATTGTGATTAGTTGTTCTTCTTTGTATGATAATACTGAGGTTGTCTGGGGGACATAAATGATACCATAGTCCAGCACCAATGAACTGGGTGCTAGGAACAGGCAGCAGCTTCTCATTCCTAATACATTGAAGAGGCAGGATCTTGGAACATACTCAAAAGCCAGAAGCCAGCCATGCCTAGAAAATATCTCGGAAAAGTAGTCATTTCATAAAGAGGTCTTGATACTAGCTATAAAGCTATCTGCCATGAGCAATTAATGAGCATTAATGCAAAAACAAATTAAAAAATAGAAAATAAGAAAACACTGAAGGAAGATACAACCTCAGACCTTCAGCTCAACCAAGGAAAATCCAGGGGGCATTGAGGGAGAAGAAATTAAAAGCCACACAACTTGCAATCCTCCTGCCTCAGCCTCCCAGAGTACTGGTATTACAGGTGTGTACCACCACATCCAGCTTTGTTTTTAAAAAACCCTGTTAACTATGTTTTAACATGCATAGGCTGCCCACTTCAGGGAGCATCATTCTCCATCCCTATAGCTTGGGGACACTTTGCTGGCTTGATAATTTTCAGAAAATTCCATTGTTTTCTTTTTCTGTGTCTGAGCTTTTTCTGGGCCTCTGGATGACCAGGTTAGCAATTGAAGGCAAATGAGACATTTCTTACCCTTACTTCTTTCTTCTCAGGTCTTGGCATGGCTACTTAATTAGATAAGAACTCATATCATGATTTTCTCATGAATTTTGACTTTGGAAACATGGTTGAATCTCAGGCTAGATTATAAAATGAATGACTATTTTACATAGATTTTATATTTGCCAAATCAAAACCATCTTTAGATTTCTCTCTTCAAAGTTTTCACCTGTCCTTCATCTGCCCACTATCTTCCTGGTGAGCCAATGGCTCTGTCTTCTAAAAAGAATGATAGTGATAATGGAATTCCACCAAGATAAAACTGCATTTGCATCTTCCAGAGCATTTTTGTGCACCTAGCAGCCTTTATACAGTGAAAGTTCATGCACATAAAGCCATACGTAGTCCTATATGCATTCACTCAACAAATATTTGTGTGTTAGATGACATAGATAGACTTGGGATGAGATTAGATTTTGAAATAAAATTAGACAGAAATTTTCAATTTAAGGAAAGAGTTAGCTCTGGGAAGGGAAATTTCAACACAGGGTAAAATATATGAAGATAGGGACAATCAAATATGCTGGGGTCAGAGAGGATGTGCATCAGAACCAGACATGGGCATCCAGCTGGAGAACTTTCTCCCGGGGAACTGGAATTCACTGGCATTTCCATTCATATTCCTGCACTTCCACAATTTCTTGGCCATATATGAACTGATAATATCCTGCCTGGAAATGCTTTCCTGGCCACAATGAGGAGGAAATATGTATCCTTTCTAGGTCTTGTGACTTTTGGCAATGTTACTAGCATCAGCCTTAATTGAAAGTCTACTGAGGTCTATAAACTGAAATCTAAAGTTTCATTAAACAAGATGAGATATGATATCTACTGACCACCCTACAGGAATTCTGATAAAAAAGGTCTGAACATCAAAGCCTTAATAAATTTGGTGGAAGTTTTATGACTTTCTCTCCATAGATCAGTGAAGCCAACTATTTATATTCCCTAGAATTTTTATGTTGAGGCCCAATCTCTAGTGCCGTAGTATTAAGCAGTGGAGCCTTAGAAAATGATGAGATTAGGAAGGTAGAGTCTTCATTCATGGGATTTGTGGCTTTATGAAGCAGATCAGAGGGGGCATATTCACCTCTCTGCATGTGAGGACACACCTAACAGTGACACACACCACACCTTTGAAGCCCAGAATGAGCTCTCCCCCCAAACTGAATTTGCTATTACCTTGATCTTGGATTTCCACACGATAGCACGTGAAAGGTAAGTTTATGCTGTTTATAAATCACCATCTAAGGTATTTTGTTGTGGCTGCCTGAAAGGATAAAGACACTGACCAATCACTTTGGGGTAAGATCTTTATAAGCTATTGCGATGCTGGGTTTTGGAAGCTATTCATAATCTCTGCTAAGTTTCCACAGGAGAAAGAATGCCAAAGAAATAATCAGTCATTGTACCGCTGTTGCTCCTGGCACTCTCATTTGCCATGGATCAGTTCTTCACATCGCATGCTGTTTGAATTGTAGATGACTTTGACAGGCAACAACAGTGGGCCAGTTGGACCTGAATGAAAAGCTGTGTCCACTGCCAAATCAAAGATTTAAAGTTGATGGTGAAATCAGGAGCAGAGCTCTTCAAATCTCATCTGGAACATGCCTGAATTCCAGAAAAGGCCAGGAATTTGTTGCATCTTATGTGGGGCAAAGGCATCAGGTAGGAAATTTAGAAGACATTTTAATTGCCCTTCATACTAAGTGGAGTAACCAGGACCATCGGTTATAGGCCCGCAGTCAGAATGTGGATTCCGGGAAAGCAATCTTTTGTGGTTGAGCTGCCTTTTAAAAATCCACAGTCCAAACATTCTAATCACCTTGAGTTATCTCTCAGAAAAGGCCATTGTAATCCTTCGACACTGTGTTTGTCTGCTGCTGCTTAGGCGAATGACAGATCCAAGTGCCCGCTAGGGGAAATTAACGCTCTCATTTGTCAACAGCCTGCACCGCAAAAGTCTTCCTTCCCTTTCCTGTTGACTGAGTAATGGTTTGGAAGAAGAAAGGTGATAGGTATAATGTTTCTCCTAGAAGGAGAAAACTGACAAAAGGGACTACCCAAATATTTTCCATTTCAATGAGATGTTCTTTCTGCTCAAATTAAATGACTTTGTTAAAATAAGAAGGTATGGTTGCTGTAGATGGTGGAAGCTGGGTACTTAGTGGGGTATAGGATTACCACCCACTCTCTGCTCCAGCAGGCAAGTCTGACCTCATCTGTTTCTTCTTCCAGTTTAGCACAAACACATCTTTCTGCCCTTTGAATAAGCTCTGGCCTCCTGCTGAGGCCAACTTCAGTCCCTTCTCCTCTTGGAGTTGGAGAATCCTTCTCAGAATTTCTACCTTAGCAGTTTGGTATTGCAGTTCCTCTCCCCTGTAGTAGTCTCCCCTGGTCCCATGAAGGTTATCGTGCAACTTGAACTCTATGCAATAGCAATCATGTCATCTATAACTCTGAATACTCTGTACCACAGAGAATTATGTTCAAGACTCAGTACATAAGTGTTTTTTTTTTGAAGACTTCTTATAACATTAATTATGCTAGGTTTAACCTTCTTTTAAAAGCAAGTGATTAAATTAATAAAACAGAACCAAAATATAATTTGGTATGTTCTCTTGTACAAAAACTACACTAGATTCTTCACATTATTTAAACAGGGGAAATAATCAGAAAATATTTAGATTATTATTATTATTTTATCTTTATTAAATTTATTGGTACCTTTTAGGTACACAATACAGTTACAGTCATCATTAGGATCTTGTACCTTTACATGATTTATCTTGGCTCTTATTTTTCCCCATTCCCCAGCCCTTCCTTCAGCCCCTCCACCCTTCCCTGTTTACAAAGACATTGTTTCCATGTTTTCCCTTTTCACACATTTTTCTTTTCCCTTTTTACCCTTCCCCTACCCCTCCTACTTCCTCTACTCCTTTAGACTTTTCTTCCTATTACACAATATCAATTATACATTTTGACCTTTATTTATACTTTCACTTTTTCACACCAGAGAAACTATTCAGTGTTTACCCATGTGTGACTTATTAATTTCACTTCAGAGTATGGCCTCCATGTGCACCCACTTAGCTATAAATGTCTCTAGTTTCTTGTTCTTTATGGCTGACTAGTATGCCATTTTATAAAAAAGCTACATCTTTTTTATCCATTCTCCAGTT